CTTTTAAAATCTAAACTCCGTAGCCTACTAGCATTAACATTAAACAAATATTTCTGAATTGAAATTTATAATTAAATTAGGCGTCTCGGATTCTTTAACGTTATAAATTTCTGATAATTTTGAATCACCTAAAACAACAATGCCTATTTTTCCACTGGCCAATCTTCAATCAACACTATAACTAATTAAACATAATAGTTTCAGGATATCTTCATAAAGCATTGTCATGACTTGACAATCACGTAATATGATTGATAAAATTAATGAAACTATTAACAAAATCGGTCAGCAAATTGACTTATAATTATCACTAGTGTTGTTTTTCTTCATTCACTACAGATGATTACAGTATGTTTCTCTATCAGTTGCTCATTCAGTAAATATCTCAAAACTTTGTCAGTCTAATTGATGGTTTAGCGACACAATCATGCATGCAAATAATCAGTATAAGCAGTCGAGCAAATATCCTGCAAACTGAAAACATCAATGTCGAATTTACCCCAACACTGACTAAGGTTCAAGCTATTATCATAGGCATGAGTTGGGAGTGCACTCCCCTTGGTTACAACTTATGTTCTCCCTGATAATCACATGAGCATCACTCACTATTAATCATCTTGTAAAAAATTATTTAGCCAAATACACCTTGCAGCACCACATCACTTAGTAATATGACACATAGGTTTAACTAATTTCAATAACGTATAACCACTATATCTCAATTAAATCGTGTTCCGCCTTATGATAAACTGCATACTTTCAACTAACTTGTATACCCAATCAGCCGACAAGTATAGATATAAATAAATAGTCTGCCGCAGATCAGAACATTGAGTCTAGAGCATGTCTCTTACGAATACACTCATGTTTAACGATTTGTTTCTAGCTATCTTTCCAAAATTCACATAATTATCACTCACGTATTTAAATGTTGTTTTGATAACCATTCACGTGTATTAGTAGTATTACTAAATTCTATCACGGTCAGGTAAACATGGGGTTGAGAAAATCTCCCCGTAACTAAATCAACCGTATCAAACTAACTGGAACACTAGTTGGGATTCTTCTCCACGGTAATACTTTTGTTCCTTCAGTTAGCCTACTAATACAGATGCAATTGGAAATCGACTCATATGGACAACTTACCGGCATAATCGTTATTTGATTTCATAAGTTAGACTAAAAGTAGTACTAATATTAACATTTCTACAATATTCATAACTTTAATATTTCTAAACACAAAATACTTACTACCTATACGTTAAGTTATCAACCAACGGCTATTACACACGCATCGTTTTATTATCACTATTATTATTATTGTAATCCCATTTTTTATAGCTCAAATAATCACTCAAATTTTCATTGTAAGCGTGTTAAGCATGAAGGCAGATATTTTAAAATTATTACATGTATTTCCCGACCAGATGCTGCCGTCTTCTTTTTGATTTATCTTTCAGCTTGTCATCACCCGGAGGAATCTTACTATTCTTGGTAACCTTCGTCACACTACAGTCCCATCCAATTGGGTATCGAACCAACACCACGTTGATTCTGGTGGGAGAGTAGTGTAGTGGCATTGGACCATAACCACACTATCCTCAAAGCTGAATACGAGATTACTCGGAAAATAGGTATTCAATATTTAACGCGAAGAAATACCTAACGATGGAGAAGGCGCGAATAATGAATTGAATAGACTAGAGTTGATCGAACGGCATGGCTCGGCCATGCAGGCGTGGTCTCTGCTGAATGTTACCTTATATCTTCTTTTCATATTAAATATATTGTTCTTTCTCTAGCCTAACCTTGTTCTACATCATGTATTGGTAATTGATACGATACAGTGAGTTGGTGCAGTCGATGGTGTGACTTCCACGTAAGATCTTATAGATTAGGCAGTCATATCATGACAAATCTACAAATTTAGGATTAGGTCTATTATTAGAGCAGTACTAATATCATAGTAGACCATAAGTTCTACATACTCATGATATTTTTTATGGAAATATTTTACATGAACAAATTTTCTATTGAAGACAATTTATTGAAAAAATTTCACTATAAATCATAAGTACCACTCGTAGATGAAATTTAATTATTTTGTAAAGAACATATTTTTAAAAACATTGGTGATTATTCCAACTTATGTAGTGATTTTTATATGAGTTAAAAGATGCGAGTTGAAAGTATAATTATCCTATGAAGTAAACATGGTTGGAATTTTTAAAAAAATGGTAGTTAATATTAAGTTGATATCAAAATAAACTGCGAAGACGAATTTGAGTAGTTCTCCGTTGCGTGAAACACGTGGTCTGCTCAGTAAGTGTAATAGCAACACATGTATAAAATCTCATCACTGTGATAATAATATATGAGGTCATCCAATAAGTCTTCGAACTTGAACGATGTGAGTGAGAATACCATCAAATTATTACTCGTTTACAAATCATTGATGGATAAAAGTATTCTGCCTCCACAGTACGATTTAAAGGGTATATATGTTTAAACAAACTTTGGTTTTATGTGCTGACTAAAGGAAGAGAAAAAGTATAGGCAAGTACTACATTAGTTAACTACGGAATGTTGAATGTGTGCAAAATTCTAAAACCTTTATGTTTAATTAACCTACCAACATTTTGCAAGTTTTTACGTTGTAAATCTACTTTTCAAACCAAGTATAACATATGGAATTTTGTTTCGTGTTAACTTGATTGTTGCGAATGGCGGTATTTGATTGTAGAACATATTCAGTCACACAAATTTAAGGAGCTTCGTGCACTGATAGTGAAGCCTCCAGTCTATTTCACAACCATTTAATCTGCTTACAATGAATTTTGCTTAATCACTCTGACGACTATCAAATACATCTTGCATTGTTCACTACAAGCAGCGAAGCTACCTAACCTTTCGATATCGTGTTTATTTCTAATTCTACAATCAGGTGATCACAATAAGTTTATGAAACAATTAGTGAATTGAGAATAACAAGTATTATTAAGTTTGGCAGTTTCCTGGAGTGATAGAAGTGAAGGATTAAACAAGTTGGAAACACATAAAGATATGTACAAGTTACTTAGCGAAATATGTGGATGTGTCAATAAGATTAGTTTTCACCAATGTGACTGTACAAGCGTAGGGTAATAATGAGTCCTGATAAATATCAGTTCGTGCAGTTTTCTGATTAACTGGGAAGTACTCAATGTGTTACACCGATTTCATGTGTTAGTATAAACCATCCAGAATTACTGCTTACGTTATCACTCGAATAATAAATAACCCATGTATTTTGAGTAAATTGAATTCCATTTATCGTTTATTACCACATAAACTAATGGAAATAACCTAGAACGTGGTAGATCATTATATTCTGGCTAACAACAATCTGTTTTAACCCTGAATATAAGTATACTGCTTATCATACACAGATTAGAGGTCAATTAATCTCAAAGATTTAAGTGATTTCAAATTTTGCCATTTTCGAGGAATCTAGTTATTAGATGGATTAGGTATTTATTAGTCAATACTGCCAATTACAAAGTCTTATAAATGGTAGTTCTGCTATACGCACACTATGCCTTAAAGACACCATCGTTTGAAAATGCATGAATTGCTCAACATGAGTGGGTAATGATTTATAAAATAAGACATATCATCTCTTTAATATCTTAGGTGCAAACTCTAAAAACATTTAATCCATGAGAATAGCGAGCACCATAACTGATGTTCTTTAAGAAAGTGAGAGGAGTTGTACGGACGTTTTTATATATATACACATATACATATATAATAATAAAAGCTAATATTGATTACCTAAATATACGAAAAATATTTAAGGTGAATTACACAATACATTTGACAATGTTCATGACAGCCTCACAGTTCTCCTGTAAACGGATTAAGTATACACAATAAAGGCGAACTGAAAACAACAAATAAATTTTATAAGAGCATAATTAAATAATGGAATATTGGCTCAATTATGACAGATTACTGAATACTGTTTTTAAATAAAAAGGAAGAAATTACAGATAAGAGTTAAGTGAACAGATAAACAAGAGAAAAATGCTTTTTGAAAAGCTAATCGATTTCTAAAATTTATGACAATATTTGTATGACTATTCCCAATCTTTATTAGAAGGGTAATTTTCTTTAAGTGGAAATCAAACAATAAAAATAATCAACAAAGGAATGCAGTTAATTAGCTCATAGTCGTACATGTAAAATTAAAGAATAACTATAAATCCGTACTGAATCTATCACAAAAATCATTCTCCACTATTATTTTCCGACGTTATTAATAATAATATTGAAAAATAACGGTGAAATTTAGTTACTGTTACAATAGTAGATGTTATATAAAGCCGTACACAAACAGAAAAAGTTCATAATTTGAATAAAAGTGGAAGATGTGACTTGTTAATTTATAACCAATCTACTCACACATTTTAATACATCCGCATAAGTTTATGGAATATAGTAGAGGTATATTAATGAAGAATCTCAGTGAGAACAGTTAAAATGCGATGAAGCAAAACACGCTTACTAGTTAGCAAAGAGATTGTGTAAAACCAACTGTGGGAATATGTACGCATATAGTTCCGCTTAACATATATATATATATATATATATATATATATATATATATATATATATATATATATATATATATATATATATATATATATATATATCATAGGTTAAGCATAAGCCAAACAAGGACCAAATGATAACATGAAAATACACAACAAAAGTACAAAACCTTTAAAAACGAGATACATTAAGCAGTAAATATATAAAAACATGTTATTGTTAATATGCAATGAAATATGAATTAAACAATGAAGGCATTAATAAAGAATAATAATATGAAATAAAACTGGAAATAAACAAAAGTGTAGATTTCTTTCTCTTTTCTTGATTGAATCGATACGAGGTATGTATGTGACATTGACAACAAATTATTTAATGGTATCATTACAACACATTAGTATTTAATATCAAACAAACTGTGGAGCATCTGGATCTGAAGAAGGAACAGGTATACCGGGATTATACAACAATGGACGCATATATCTAGCATTATCTATTGGATCGAATGCAAAAACCTAAAAAGAAAAAAATATTTCAAAGAATAAACAAAAACATATAACCATGAAAAATTCGTAATTTTTGTTGACTAATTACATTTTATGCAACGATTAATGAATCATACTTTAATTTATGTATTAAAAAGATATTAAGTTGTATAATTTGAGTTTATACTGAAGAAAAAAGACTTTGGAATCATATGATATACATGATTGTAAAATAATGAAAAAAGTTTTTGCCAAACTATAGACACATACAATTACGATTTTGAATGATTTGACTATTAAGTTCTATCGGATTGATTTTATTATATTGACTTTGATCCAAGTAGTTTGGTAAGGGTATTTAGAAAAAAAATTATCATAACTTTAAGTAAAATTAAACAAACTTGAACATGATTGTTGAATAATTGTAGGATAGATGGTGGGATAAACAAATAAAGTACATTTTTAAACATAAAAATTCATTTCTGATAATTTGATCATTTTATGTTTCTACAGCAATCGATCACAGAAGGACTAAAATGATTTCATAACAAACAATAAATAACACTTAGCATGTACTTTTTGCATTGATATTTTCAAGTTATTTACAACGCAAAACGATACTAAGGACGAAATTGAATGAGAGGAAATTGATATTATTACCAGTAAATGAAAACAAGAGAATTATTTCTTATAAACAATTGTAATGAAGAAGGAGAGATAGGTTGCTCAAATTGATTCATGACGAAAGATTTATTGATATTCAGTATAGAAAAAATGGAAAGTGTGTTTGAATTGAGCAGACATATAAGTCAATTAGACAATATTGAATGGTAATTGAGGAATTTTGATTTTATGATATTTGTGAATTATATTTATATGATTGTTTATTGATGAATCAGTAGCAAGTGTGGATCAGTTTAATTTATTCAAAATCTAACTATTAATCGATATATAATCATATATAAGAAAATAAAACAAATCTATTCAGACATAATTTGGATCTACTTTTAGCATAGAACAAATTCTCATCTGTCATCATTCTTTCATTGTCAACATATATCCAGTCATATTAGTTTAGCAGCAGCACCAGTAATGCAACTATATCGATTCTGTTTTCGTCACGATAATATTGATTGTTCGGAAGTAAAAGATGAAATGTAGATTGAAAAATACCTAGTAAAATTCAATTTAGATTGCAAAGGGATTCCATTATTGGTGGAAAAGTGAAAGAAAATTACAGTGGTATCTGTTATATCTTATACTAGATTACGACAGAATACGACACACAACTAATCAATGGCAGTCGGATGTGTAGAACCCCACAGTTGCGGATCAGTAGATGGAGGAAGCACGGAAAGTGATGATTGAGTAAGAATCAGAAATATGTAGAAAAACATAGGCATTTATAGTTATTAGTATTGGCTATAACATAATTATAATTCAGCCAGTCAGCAAGGATGCAAGTTATGCTATCGTCCAATAGTAGCATACCAAGTTAATATTCTAGAAGGCTCTGTCAGATTCTGATCGGATAAAATCTTTGTGGGTCCTTTGTAACCTCTGGAAAATTCGTCGTGATTTCTGGAGGCCCGATAGGATTAATAATGGCTTCCGTTTTGAGAATTGTCTAATGACATACCAATCCATCATATTGTGCAATCATTAGAACCCCATCAAGAAGGTCCTGTGAAACAAACAAGTATCAACCAAACAAAACTGTTGTTCATTATGCCGCGCTCTGTCATAAAATGATAGTCTTTTCCCTGATTCCATACAGTCGGAGCGTCAGAAAACAAGATGGTAACAGTTAATGAGTTATCAATCCCATTGTGTCCCAATACACATCATCAGAACTCTCCGTTGTTTACATAGTGTTGTCATAGGAAGCGAACAATCCTTCAGCAACAATATATATATATATATATAAAATCAGTACTAGATTACGTTTATTTTTCACCTTCAAATAATTCATTGTATATTAACACCCAACTCATTTCCCTAAATTTTGATGATCGATTTCTTTTTGGTATGATTATGAAGCATGAAATGCAAAGATATTTGTTTGTTATTCCACCCTCTTATTTCAAAGCAAAATAGATTATCAGAGTGATACAATGACATAACAGCAAGACCCATATTCTTATTTTACTCGCGTTAACAAAATCATTGTTAGTACTTATAAACTTAGAATGTGTACAAATGAGAGCAACAAATTCACCAGGATAGCTTTAGTTAATGCTCTAGAATTCACATGATTGTTATCGATAGGAATAATTGACAGAAAAATTCGATGATTGAGACAGAGTTCAACTGTAAGTTTAGTTGTTCGTACATGGTTATAAGAAACGGTAATCACAAGCAGTAGAGTGTATTTGCACGAAAAAGTGCTGTTAAAAATTATTAAAACTACCGTACAAATATTAACTTAAGATAGATAAATAGTTCTAATCAATGCAGTTAGGCCAATATAAAGAGTAATTTATATTCAACAAATATGATTTTGAAAATAATTAAGATGATGATGATGTCTTCATCATCATTTCCAGCCAGAAATCGATTAAGGCCGTACGGACAGTCTCTATTTGTAAGAATCGTTATTTAAGGAAGCAATATATTTTAACCGGTTATGTTTACACCTTAACTGTATTTTCAACTAATTAAGTTTATCCGTCTATTATGTAGTTATCTATAAAAACAAACATTGAAAAGGTGAGCCTGTACATATTTTTTTTCTAAACAGTCTTTAGTTGAATAGAAGGTAACTTGATAATCCCCTAAAGGGTTTATACACTTACCAATAAATTAAGTCTACGCTTATATAGAAGAAAATAGATAAAAGTTTTGTGGTCCTGACTGAAAAAATTGCTCGACAAATCGTTAAATTGTAGTTTTAGAAAGTAACAAATAACAACGATACCATCAGCAATGTATGTTGAACACACACTATTTATTGGCTTTGTGAAAACATACTGCTGTGTTGAACTAACGCACTGTTAATTTAGCATCTGAACAAATACATCATGTTAAAGAAAGGTGAACAGATGTTTTACAGTTAAATATTATTATAAAATCAATTTCTATTCGCTAGTCTACACATGAGAATTTATATCACAGTTTGAAGCTGAAACTTCAAACTTTAAGATAATCAGAAATTTAGCAATTCAGATAACCCTTAACGCAGGGCTTTTTCTTTAACTATTCAACAGTATTCTAATTAACTATTCCCATAAAGGTTCACTAGTGAATCAGTTCACAATATTGATTAATATGTCAGTGAGTTGCGGAAACTTTATACTTTTGAATAACATCATAGTATTTTAAGGTTTTAATATGACAAAACAAAAATGATCATGATTTAAACGATAATTCAAGATGTTTGGTAGTGGTGGTGATAGGGAGAAGTGGTGGTGTGGTGTGAGCTACTTATATTGATATAAGTAGTATATAACGTGCGTTAAACGAACGTAATGTCTGGCAGCGGAAGATGGCGAAGATCAAGAAAGGTAGAGCGAGAACACAATGGAATTTGTAAGAAAATGCATGAACAATGGAATGGGAGACAATGGATTGGTGTTTGCAACAGAAACAGTCCAGTTTGGTTTGACGCATGAATATTTTGCAAATTGACGATTTACTATATGGTATTCAGATTTTGTTGAGATAGACTGTAATTGTTTTGCTAAGTACATCCGTTTGTCCCCACCCGTGTTCTAGTTCACTACAGTGGTTGATGATCCACAGAATAAGAAAAAACAACTATTTAACATTATTTTATTATTATATTATTATTGTCCAACCAGATTATTGACTGCATAACTTAGAAAATCCACCGACATATCATAACAAAAATGATTTAAATATTAAATGAGAATAATTACGATCAAAAAAAAAATCAGACATCCATTTAACTAATCTAAATATGAACCAAAAAAAGTTCTAATAACTTGGAAAAATTATAGTCGCCAATATCTTTCATGACTATGACAAAAAAGAATTGAAGGATGTGACAATTTAGATGGGAATATCAGTAGTTAATTCAAATCAAGACAATGTTATAAACGTAAAAATGAATGTCATCCCATCTGTTTTCATCGATACTTCAATATTTTAATTTATTATTCGAGTCCATTAAAATTACCTAATGTGAATTTATTTGTTTAAGAAAAGGATGAAACACTCTCTATTTCATAAATATTAATAGTCAAGAGCGAGGAGTCAACAAGTAAGAAATAATCTTCATGCTGAGATATGTGTTGTGTATGTATCTTAGTTAAATTATGTTCTCTAAGATAGAGGGTTTAATTAAAGAGATTTTATTCTCATTATTGGCAACCTCTTCAGAAGCTACTTCATGTAGAAGTGCACTCTCAGTTATTTCATTAGTATTGTATCAGCTCGTTCTAATGGTCTTATTAGTAATTGAATGTTTTGGTGGATTTGATTGTGTTTTTATTTATTGTTGGGTATTAATGCAGACAGACAATCATGGGCACAAATTCGATTGGGGAAATATCGAAATCGTGGATCGGGAGAACCTTGAGAATGCCAGCAAATTTCTAGAAGTATAGCATTCATATCAATGAACAGGCACAACAACATAATTATGCACATGTACTCTCTATAATTTCACAGATATGTATATAATATTCTGTAAAGAATAAGCACAACCAAACATAGAATAGTTGAGCTACATTACGAGTCACTTACGCACAAAGTGTAAGTTGTCTAGCAGATATTAAATTAAAATAATTGTTTAACTGATGTCAGTGTAGAATTGGGAACATCCTGTCCGACAAGTGACAGTTAGCCAATAAACCATAATTTCAATGACGTTTAGAAACACAGTGGACATTCTTAAAGTGATCTAAATAAGACTGAAGTACTAACTAATTTCTAGTTAGTTAATGATTGGAAAAACCAAAATCCTCAAATACAACAAAGCGAGAACCAACACAATCAAACTTGAAGGAGAGACTCTGGAATAGGTGGAAAGCTTTAAGCACATGGACAACAACATTAATAAATAAGGA